TTAGACATTAAATATCCTCAATTTGTAGCATCTATTATTGATCTAAAAGATCTTACTAGTTGATTATAAAATGTTTGAATAACCAACCAATTATGTAAAGTATGGTGATTAAAAGAAGTGATATAATTTCTATGGTTTGCATTCTTTGTAGGTGAGTCGTACTTAGCAAAAAACTTATGAAACAACTCATTCCAAATGGTTATAGAGCTTGAGGGTGAAAAATTCAACCACATCATAGCTTTATCTCTTAGAAAAAATGAGAACAACTTAAGTCTAATAACATCATTATTGATACCATTATAATTAAATATTGCAAAAATTTCTAAGAATATAACTATGTATAAATTGAAATCTTCAGCAGGAGTTTTTGCAGATTGAGAATTTTAAATTATTTGAATAATGACAAGTTTAAATTAAAAATTATTAGCTTGCATTGTAGGTTTATTGATGCTCTGATGAATTCTGTCTACTAAAGGGTTAGTATAATCCCTAAGTGGTCTTGATTGATCTTGATCTAATATAGATTCATCCATCTTAACTACATTTTTTTTTATTTTTTAATTTTTGAAAGGGTAAAAAATTCACAAAGGCGTAATAAATTGTTGCACCGCAACAATTGAAAAAGAGAATCCAGTGTTGTCAAGCTAACTTTCTAACAATGCAACACTGGTAATGTTGTAGTGTTGTCTGTGTTATCATTGTAGTGCTTAAAAATAGAGAACTCATCGCCATAATATTAGAATTGGGGCACCTTGGTGGTATTCAAGGTAAGGCCGCGTTGTTATGTTGTTGGATGCCTTGGTGCTAAAGGTTCCTTAGAGTTTCTGCCAATTTTTTAGTTTTTTTCCTTCACATAAATAACTAAAATAATATATTTTCACTGAGAATATAATACATTAAATAATTTATAATTTACACTTATCACATAGCATTTGCACTTTGATTTCTTATTTAGCTTGAATAAAATAATAATTGAATAGTATATAAAATTAAGATAATAATAAAACCCTAGATGATAGTTTGAATGAACATTGTAAAATAATTCATAATTTAAAAAGCTTAATACTTAGCTAATATAGATCACTTAAGCTATTAACTTATTTTGAATTTAGAAACCTTAAACTAATATGCTGACTATTAAATTGAAGAATTAATAATTGAGTTTGGAGAAAAAGAGTTGGTAGCTTAAATTAGGAAGATCATAGTAAACTTAAAAATAGAATTAGTGACCTTATTAAATTCTTACATAATATTTAATTAGGGTCATACAAGGATGAAAGCTAAACTAATACTCAAAATAATTAAATATGTACTCCATAAGTATAAAAAAAATGAAAAACATAAAAAATAATAAATGAAAATATATAAATAGAAAAAAAAATTAGTACATTAAAATATTGGTACCTATTGAAGCACAAGTCCAAAAGTATCCTAACACTTAAATCAAATAGGATAATGTAAGTGAATTAATATATATAATTGTACACTAATGAACTTCTAATTTAACTAAAAATAGAACAACTTCCTCGATAATATATTATTCAATTTGAAATTATAAGACAATCTTACACATAAACTCATAGTGGATATGTTCAATATAAGCAATAATAAGGGTGATTGATTGGGATACTTGTTATGACCATTCAAAGTAGAACTATAATTTTATACATTTCAAATTACTTATAGACTATGATGTATTATCTTATATTTTAGTAATTTTAAATTATCAAATTTTTACTTTGGTTATTAAGTTAATCAATAGGAGATTTCACCATTGCTTGAGAACAAACAAGAGTTTAAGCTAGGAGGAAGTTTTTAAGTATAAATAACTTTTTATTCTGTTTAAATTTAGTATAAATGTATTATTTTAGTTTTGATTGTATAAAAATATTCAAGAAAAGACAAAATTCATAAGAGATGAACGAGCACTATAGCGCCCATAGATATAGCACCATAGTGTGGTCATTTACATTACCCATTGCCTATTTTTGATTTTATAATTCCAGACTCTCTAAAACTTAAGAAAAAGAAATCTTCACCCGGAGGAGCTAAGGTCAGCACCGTAGTGCCTATCAGCACAACTATGAGAAATCAACACTACAACACTAAAAGTTTCGTGAATTTAAATGTCGGAGCATCGATCATCGAAATGTTGCAGCACCGAATTGTGCTTTCAATAGTCATAGTGCTTAACTTTTACTTTATTATGATTGAGTAGTTATCAAAATGAGAAGTTTTATCGACCTAGCCAAAAGATGTGCCCATTTGACTATTAATCATACAAGGTCAGCCCAGCGTCACAGCTAAGCAAGCATTACAATGTCGTGATGTTACTTTATATTATACACCCATAGTGCCACCATGTCAAGTGTCGTAACGACTAAGTCAATTCCTACTCTTGTATAAATAGTTTTTCAGTTCTTTTGTTTAGAGAGTTCAATTCTTCTAAACGAAGTCCTATATTTTGGAGTGTATTCATGTAGTTCCCTCTTAGAATTTTGGAGTGTATTTTTGTAGTTCCCTCTTAGAATAAAGTCTAAGGGAGGCTAGGAAAGTGCTACTTATTTTCATTTGGAGATCTTAACCTATATTATATAAGAAATTCTATTATAGGAGGAAGAAGGATTGTGGAGAATATCAATTGATCTTTTCGGGTGATATTTATCTTTATTATTTCTAATGTATTTTTTCGTATATTAATGAAATGAATTTGAATTTGCTTTTTATGTTTTAAAGTCTAGCTAAATCTCTAACTTTTAGGATAATAATGTAAACATATAGTAAGTACTAATACAAACTCTTGTGCTTTGAATTAGATTAGAGATAATTTTAATATCTCCCTTTCTTAATTTACTGCATACAATGGTTGTGTAGTTAATACCTGTTGTGATATATTTTCTTGACAGAGGAATATTGGAATAAATATAGGTATTAAAATGAAATGTTGGCAGCTAGATAAATGATATTGAACATTCTAGGTTTTATGGAGATATTATAAATATAGGAAGGCCATAAACCTCTCTTTTCACCCTTACAAGATTGAATGAAATTTATGGATGCATATACTCTGATCCACATCTAAAATTAAGTGTCTCATTAGAAGAACTATATTGTTTTGCATTCATTAACCCAAATTGTTTTATTTCTATGAGTAACCAATTTTCTTGTAAGTCTAATTTAAGTGACAAAAACTCAAAAACAATAATTTTATTTTCAGTAGAATAAATCATACATTTATACTAAACAATAGAAGCCTAATTGCAATTAAGCATAATACTTTCTCATGGAATTAACATTCTTTTCTATCACTTTATTACTTTATCGGCATATATACTTGAGTATTAGTTGGCTTTTCATTATTTTATTTCAAAGGAAACCTAAGCTTATTACACTCTAAGATTTGCATGTATCTCATCCCATTGAATGCATAGTTTATCCAGCTAGCCAGCAAGCTCCTGTATCATTAACCTACCTTAAGTAGATAATTTTACCACTTGGCCAATCCTATGAAAATTACTCGAGGACCCCAAATCTATCTTTTTATGCCTATTTTCTATTTTTCCTTATCTATTTTTGAGGAAATGAAATTACCTTATCAAAGTTATTAAATATTTTATAGCGGATAATACATAGATATATAATTATTTAAACAGTGGCGTGCCCCCCTCAAAATTGAATCTGGTTCCGCCCCTGTATACAAATTGTTTAGCTTATAGCACAAAGTTCATATAAATTCTTTTATAACTATGACTTTGGGGCTTTAAAACTTTGAAAAAATATCTATAAAATAGTTAATCATGTATAGAATACTCTGGTGATATTATTTTTCAACATGTATGCTAGACAAGTCTAAAAAGCTTATTTGAATCGACATATGTTAATTTCTTAAGAAATTTTAATAGAATAAATAACCTCTTATTTTCATATCTAAAATGCTCATAAAATTAGAAAAAATTGTTATAATTAGTGCACAATATTATCAATGAAGTGATAAAGATGGTTTACCAATTAGACTTGTAACGACTCTAAAAATATCACTATGAAGTGATTAAGATAGTTTACCAATTACATTTTTATTTATATTGATCTAATTACAATGTGCTATATTAGTAAATTTAAAGATTGGATATTAAATAGCTGAATAAAATATACCTCTAAGTCTCTCCAAAAATTATGAAACATAATAAAATTAATAAGGAATGGATAGACCTAGGGGTGTCAAAATCTAACCCGAACCGAACCCGACACAAAAAAATCTGGATTCGGGTTAACCCGTTTGCCATACAAGTCGAGTTCGGGCTCAAGATTTCTACCCATTTCTATAAACAGGTCTAGTTAGGGTTGACCCGCCAACTCGAAATTAACCCGCCAACCCAAAATTTCAACCAGTTTGCCATATGTTCGTCGGTTCGCATAGGGTTCTCCGTCCCCGCATGCGGCAGCGGGCAGCCGGTCCTCGTGGCACATTGGCCCTCACACCCACTGACCAACGGTCAAGCCGGACCAATCGGTCCTTTGGGCCTTCGCGGACCTTGCCCATGGCGCGCCTTTGCAGACTTCGCCCAAGTCGCACCACGTAGAGAGCTGGCCATGCTGGCCTTAGGCATACCACATGTTCGCCCGACTCGCACCACATCCACATGTTGGCCTCATGCCTTGCACCCATGGTCAAGCTGGACCTATCGCGCGTCCCCTCGAGTCATAGTGTCGCACCACGCACTGGCCTTGGCATTGCAACCTCCGGGGTTGCATTTTAAGAACGGGTCGTGAGTCGGTCGGGTAAACCTGGTAACCCTCGCGAGTCAGGTCCGGGTTGCTAAACCCAACCAATTTGTAAAAACGGATCAGATTTGGATTGACCCATTTATGACCAGGTCGAATCGGATTCGACCCGAACCCGATCCGTCGATCCGAACTTGATCGATCGTCACGAATTGACACCCATAAATAGGCCCTCACCTAGCATATATAACTCATTAATTTTTCGTCCTCCCCTCCCATGCCTTCGATCTTTGCTTCGTCCTCCGTTTCTTTACCTTTCTTTGTTCCTTAACGTGTTTAATCTGGATTCGTTTCATTTTTTTTGCATTTTAATTGATAATTGAAATTGTCGTGGATGGAAACGCAGAAAAGCAATACAGATTGCCTCTACTTTTTGGCTTCTCCCCTCACCTGCAAGAAGGTTTTTGCTATGTATCCCCTTTCTCACCCAAGAAATTTTCCATTTTCAGCGGTTTCAACATCACGAGTAGGCCAATTAGGTTTTTTTTTTTCTCTCCCCGTTTTCTCGTTTTTGATTGATTGGTTCTCTTATCTTTCACGGATTTTGCTCGTGCAACTGGAAATGTTAAGATCTAAGTTGTTTTGAGGTGGAACCTGATGCTATGGAGCGGGCCTTTTTTATATTTGTGCTCCGGTTCATCCTTGTGGTTATAGGGCTGGGATTTTCTTTCTCCTGTAGGGTTATTCCCTCAAAATTTTGAATAAAAAAATTATATATATATATATATATATATATTGCCAGCCAAGAGAAATACTGATTTTGTGATTGTTTTACTGTTTTCATGCCTAAAAACTTTGCTTTGACTGGTTTTGCTTTTGTACTTGTTGATGGAGCCATGCCATTATCTTCTTTTTACTTGTATAACCATGCTGGTTCAAATTCATTTTGTATCATGTGCCATTTATTTTTTGACTGCTGATGTATATTCTTTCAATAAAATGTCTAAATTCTTTCAATATGCGTATTTGCGTACATGCATCCCTCATTAAAGGACTATTTAGTTGTTAACATCTATTTTATAAGGTGATGGCGTGATGCTATTAGTAAATGATAGTTTTTTTTTTGTTCTGACATCTTTATATATGAAATACGAAATTGATGTTTCAGTTTTCTGAAGTAGATGCAAAATTGCGCAACACCTAGTTGTTCCCATGTATTTTTGATACCCATTTTTCAACGATATGTTTGAATAGTGTGGATTGCAATTTTTTTAGTTTTTGGTAAAACTAAAAGGTGCTAAACTGATGAGAATAAAATTGAATTGTTTAATGTATTGTATTATTTCTTTCAGTACACTTTTTACACACTCATCTTTTGAAGCATGGATGACCATGTATGCAATAAACATTTCAATATGTGTATGTGAATGCATGCGGATCTAGTTTTTTTTTTTTTAATTTCTGCCACTCTTTTCATTTTTCTTGATTTGTTTTCATCCTTTTTCTTTTGTTTTAGGGGAGTGAATGTGAGTATCGTCACAATGATAGTGCAAGACTTAATCCAAGAGATTGCTGGTATTGGTTGAGTGGCAGTTGCCATAATCCCAACTGTGCTTTTCGACATCCCGTGAGTTCTTTTTTTGTACAAATACTTTTTGATTATTTGAATCGATACATGGATATATATTCTGTCATGTTTTCTGTTGCATCAAATCTTAATAAGATTTTCATATTTTATGGAAAAAAGGCATCTTATGATTGACGAGTTTCTTGTTATAATTGCTATTACCTCTCAACTGTTTGTATTGGGTACTTCTCTGTGTTTTTTTCTCTTTTTTCTTTCTCTCTTTAAGAAAGAAGATTCACTTTCATTTTAGTTGTTTATGCATATACATCCTTATATTTAAAATAAGCTTTCTTGGAATCCGGGCATTCTTATAGCAGACTTTTTGTCATATAAAATGCTGCAAATTGTCATATTTTTCCTGTTGTTGATAAGACTAAAGGAGTTGAAGGTAAACTTGAATTTTGGAGGTCAACATTAGAGTCTAAAGGTTTTCGCTTGAGTAGATCTAAAACTAAATATATGGAGAGTAATTTTAGTAGTAATAGATCTAGTGAGAGAATTGTGACTTTGGACGATTAAGTCATTGATAAGAGTATATATTTTAGATATCTTTGATGTATTGTTCAGAGTGATAGTGCAATAGATGGGGATATTTAGACACCGCTAGGATCCCTCACGAAAAGAAAAACTTCAACAATTTCAATTCAAATTATGCATTAAAAAAAAGCCCTAAGGATAGACTTAAATAACCTCTCTTAATCTTCCCTTCTAAAACAACCCTCTTGCCTAATAAATTTCTCTCCTATTCAAAATTCAATTAGGAGATTCTTTCCTAATTGCTCCGCTCCTCACATAAGTTATTAGATATCTATTGGGCCCCACCAAATCAGTTGAGTTAGAGGATTGAACTCCCGCCGAATCTCCTTGGACAGGGGATTGCTGGACTGGCCGGTTTAGGCTTCGTTTGGGACGGATGCAGTTGTCGGTAAAGTAGGTTGTGAAGTTGTTGTCCAGAAAGCTACTTTATAAAGTTGTTGTAAAAAAATCAATAAAATTTGTTTGGGTAGTAAAACTGCCAAGCTGCTGTATAACAATAAATTACCTTGATACCCTTCTATATATTAGCATGAAATTTTTTTATTAAATATAAATATTTTTAAATTTATATGATAACAAACTAAAAATTCTAAATTCAAGTCAAATATTTATTTTTATTTTTTAAAATTTAATAATTTTTTTAATTTTTTTTTTCAAATCAAAGCATGAAAATTTTAAAAAAATATATCAAGAAAATACATAAATAGAATATGTGTGCATCAATTTTTTTATGAAATATGCAATAGCTGCTGCTGTTGCTGCTCCCCTTCTCACTCTCGCCGGTGCAAAGAAAATCCCTCCCATACAGCCGTAGAACTCCAAGCACCTCCGGCCTCGGCTGCCCAACCTCAATAGTTCCGTCGAGCATCGTTTAGCCATTTTAGCTCAAAATCCCTATTAAATCCCACAATTCAATGGCACAAATACAGGAGAGAAAATGCCGGTAGCTCACTTTCACTAAAGATGGGAGGAGAGGGCGAAAGAGAAAGCTAGCGGCTCCAATCTCCAGATCCTTCCAAATTGATTTCTTTCATTCCAAAAGATTAAAAAAAAAAAAAACGCACGCATTGAACTTGAGACCGATTGATTTTCTTTTACAATGAAATATGGTAGAACTCTGGATTGAAGGAAAAAATAAAGGAAAGAAGCGACCACGGGAACAAACTCACTAGAGAACCGTTGCAGGTTGGAGGATTTCTGACGAGGAAGAGGATCGAGAAAACCATCTATCAGCACTTTGTTCTTGGATTTGGTAATGCCTTCTTCTGACCTCTCCCAGTTCTCAGAACTCCCGCCACCACTGCTACTCGAAAGCTCTTCCTCCGGCTTCACCTTTGCTCCGCCTCCGGCCATCCTAATCCTAGCTTCCCCGGAAAATTTGAGAAAGCCAATGGGTTTTACGGTGGAAGAAGTGCCGAACTTCACGGTGGAAGAAGAAGATGCGGTGTATTTCGCAAGGCATTTGCGTCTTTTTCTTACCCTCAAACAGCGAAAGCAGGAGCCTACTTCAGGACAGAAAAAGTAGCCGCGAGACGCAAAAAATTTGAGAACGGAGCACGACCTCGTCTCCCCAAACCCCAACTCGGTTGCGTTTCCTACTGTACAGCAGCGAAAACGGCGTCCCAAACGCACCCTTAGACGTTCCCGTGCCCACTCCGGGCGGGATATGGAGAAAGTCTTCGTATCAATGCTCCCCCCCTCCCAAAGTTCCATCTTGTCCTAGGTGGAATGAAGGGAATTGTTGTTGAGTAAGCTGGTAAGACTCCCATGTAGCCTCATGCTATGCTAGATCTTTCCATTTGATTAGCACTTCTTGTGCCCCTGTCTCCCCTCTGCACACATCCTTTACTTCCATAGTTTCCAAAATGACCTCTATGCCCTCTATCAAGGTTGGGGGTAGAGATGATGATGCATGCTCTTTTATTGTCTTCCTCAGCTGTGAGACATGAAAGACTGGGTGCAAAGATGATGAAGGCGATAGCCTCAGTTGATAGGCTCTCCAAATACGCTCCACAACCTCATAAGGCATAAAGTTTTGCGGGGATAATTTCTCATTCCTCTTTTTGGCTAGTGTTTTTTGTTTGTAGGGCCTTAGTTTTAAGTAAGCCCTATCTTCTGTTTCAAAGTTTACTTCTCTCTTGTGCTCATTAACCTTCCTTTTTATGATCTGTTGGGCTCTCAACAAATGTCCCTTTTGCTTAGGTAATACCTTGTCCTAAGTACTGCGCGACGCTGAGCACAGGTGTATTGTTCTGCCTATCAGATGGGGTGGATCTCTCCCATAGAGAATCCTGAAGGGAGTGGTCTTTGTTGTTGAATGTTACGAGATATTGTACCAATATTCTACACACGTAATCCACCTTGCCCAACTTTTCAGTGTGTCTGATACAAAGCATCTCAAATAGGTCTCTATGCTTCTATTGATTAGTTCTGTCTGGCCATATGTCTGGGGATGGTATGTTGTGTTTCTTTTCAGAATTGCCTCCTGCAAACGAAACAACTCCTTCCAAAAGAAGCTTTCGAACACTTATCCCTATCTGACACAATGGATTCTAGATATCCATGCAGGCGTACCATCTCTCGTATAAAAATAGTATCCATAAGGACCGCATTGTACAAGTGCTTAAGAGGGATTAAGTGTGCATACTTGCTCAAACGATCCACCACTACTAGTATCACTGAAAAAATCTCTCCGAAGCGGTAACCCCTCAATAAAATCCATCATCACTTCCTCCCACACTCTCTCCGATAGGGCTAGAGGCTATAGTAACCTTGCTAGTGTCATGGTTATGTACTTGTGTCTTTGGCACACATCACATCTAGCTACCCAGTCATCTACATCGTGGCTCATCCCCTCCCAGTATAATTTTGTTTACAATCAAATGTATGTTTTCTGAGCTCCTGAATGTCCTCCAATGACACTTTCGTGAAACTCCTGTAACAGATTGGGAATGTATCCTGATCCTCTCGGTCTAGCGAATGCCCCCTAACATAGCAGCTGGACTCCTCTCAATGTGCATCCAAGTTTTGTAGCAAATTAAATTTTATCTTCCTCAGTCCTTCATCCTGTTCATTCTTTTATTTCAAAGCTTCTCAATTTAGGATCATGGGTACTGACAAAGCTGCCATCTGAGGCTCTTCGTCTTTTTGCAACAATGTGTATGCTGCTTTATTTTTTAAGCACCGTTGATGCTCCTCCGTGGTCATCCGGTGTTCCAACAAATACTTTAGGCTCCTTTGATCTGTCCCAACTAGGAAATGGCTCCCTAACAAATAGGGTCACTATTTTTGAATAGCCAAGATAATAACCATCATCTCCCTCTCGTACACTGATTTGAGTCTCTCCTTGACTATGAGCACCTGATTGAAATAGGCGATAGGTCACTTATCCTGCATGAGCACTACCCCAATCCACATCCTAATGCATCTTTCTCCATCACAAATGGCTTGCTGAAGTCGGGAATTGCTAATACCAGTACATTGACCACCATTGATGCTCCTCCGTGGTCATCAGTTGTTCCAACAAATACTTTAGGCTCTTTTGATATGTCCTGACTAGGAATGTCTCCCGAACAAATATGGTCACTATTTTTGAATAGCCTAGATAATAACCATCATCTCCCTCTCGTACACTGACTTGAGTCTCTCCCTGCTATGAGCACCTGATTGAAATAGGCGATAGGTCGCTTATCCTGCATGAGCACTACCCCAGTTCACATCCTAATGCATCTTTCTCCATCATAAATGGCTTGTTGAAGTCGAGAATTGCTAATACCGGTACATTGATCATCACCTTTTCCAGTTGCTCGAAAGCTAATACCGGTACATTGATCATCACCTTTTCCAGTTGCCCCCCCCCCCCCACACACACACACGCACACTTGAAACTGTACTTCTTTAGATGCTTAGTCAGTAGCCTTGCTAATGTTCGATACCCTAGTATAAAACTTCAGTAGTACTCGGTGTGGCCTAAGAACTCTTTCAGCTCCCTCAGGTTCTTATATTAAGGTTAATCCAACATAGCCTTAATCTTGGTATGGTCCATTGCTACCCCTTCTTTTCTCACAACATATGCCAAATACTCCATCTATGGTTGTGCAAATGAACATTTCTTCAAGTTGGCATATTACTGGTGCTTTTTCAATGTCTCCAGTACCGTCTTCAGATGACCCATATGCTATGCCTCCATACGACTGTAGATCATAATGTCATAAAAAAATTTCAAGATAAACTTTCTAAGGTAGGGCTAAAAAACTCAATTTACGAGAGACTGAAAGTGGCTGGGGCATTGATGAGGTTGAAAGGTATCACGAAAAACTCGTAGTGAACCTCCTGAGTCCTAAAAGCTATCTTGTGTACATCTCTTAGCTTCATTCTGATCTGGTGGTATCTTGACTTCAAGTTAATCTTTGATCCAACAATTCATCGATTACAGGGATATGAAACTTGTCCAACACAATTTC